TTCAGTATTTTAACACAAAGGTTCTATGAAGATTGATTCGCTTTGAGGCAGTCTCAGGTGGCAGGTTTTGATTGATTTGGATTTATTTACACTTCTATCTTAATCCTTTCCAAAGATGCAAGGGGAGGAGGTGAGGAACAAGGAGAGAGGAAACATCCTTGCCTCAGAGCTTCTGCTTTAAAGTGACATCAAAACTGTTTTCATAAACCTACAGTATACATTTGCTTTTAATTCATAATGCAGCGTAATGTGATGAGTATGTATGGGTGTCATACAGGTGACACAGTAACAAGTTACCAGTCCTATCCCGATCATGGTTTGTACGTTCCAGCTGTAGGACGCCTCTTTGATACATCATGTGTGCCAAAAGGACGTCTGCAGAGAACACATCAGATACACCTGTGTGTGATGCATTTTAGAAACCGGGCATTGGAACAAGCCCATACATTGGATAAAAATGTCAGGTCTATGGGTTTGAGCATTGCTGGGGTAATTCCACAGAACACCCTTTGTAATACAACCTATGCCTGATAACGTAGATATAAAACTTTAAAGTATTGATTAGTGACCACATTCTTAGGATCTTATCAGGAAGTATGTCAAACACAAGACCACACCTCCGGATTTTCCTTTTTGTGAAGGCCATGCGCTTCCATAAAGAACTACAGAAGTGCACATTGAGTGTCTAAGTGCACATTAAGGGCCATTACACTCGCCATCGTACTCAATATACATAATGGCAACATGTATAAAATGACCTCTTGTGGTTGTAAGTAAATTGATATACAAGAGTCTCATATGGCCAGTGTTCACAGAGCTTCCAGAAAAATGCAACGTTGAACTGGATGTAGCTCAAAAGTGTGACCAAATGTACTGTAGATTGAAAAGGCTTGACCAGAGGGATGTTTGACAAAACACAAAAGAGGACAAAATATCTTAAGAAAGCTGTTTATTGCGATCAGTCCAATACGTGAATAGGTCCAGAGGAGATCAGGGTTTGATGGCTTGAATCGACATTTCTTTGCTCTGAAAAAATTTAAGACAAATACGTCACCACCTTCACATCTAGATCTAGTCTGACTAAAGAAAGCTTCAGTTCATTCTTACCTCTGTTTGAACCTTTAATCCCTTGATGTGTGGAGCTCCTCTGGCCTGTGGGATGCACACACTGTCCTCTACAGGCACCATCTGCCTGGCCGTTGGTGTCACAAATCACTGCATCGCAGTGGACAAAGATCTGTGGACAGACAGAAGGGTTTAGCATGCAGGGATAGAGGCAGCAGTCGGTGCCGTGTGGCTGGAGAGGCTCATTAGGATGTACCTCGTCTTTTAGAACCTCCTCATCCTTAATGAAGGTGAACATCTTAATGGAGAAGCGTTTGACGTGGGATGGGAATTCAACTCTGTCGTCGCTCATGATGGGATGAAGGGTGGTCGTGTAGCGGTCATCTCGATTTACACAACTATTGAAGGAAGAAAAACATTATAGAGGCCTTTAAATACACAAGCACATGTCTTCATCACCCTCTACTTAGATTGAAATGTGTCAAATATTCTACATCACATTATAACAATTTCCCTGAGGTACCCTACCAGCGGGATCAATAAAGTTATATCTAATCTCTAGAACAGCAGTTTAACGTAGTGGGAAGAAAGATTCCTTTATTACAGAGAAACTAAAGGGGTTCTCTTTAAACTAACACATTACCTGTCAACAATTATGTCCCAGCTGGGTAAAGAGGTCCTGTCTTCATGAAGAGTGGCCCAACAGTTCTCCAAGATGAGCTCCAGGTTGGGATCCGTAGACTGCATCAGCTCCACCTCAAAGTACAGAGGCTGCCTCAGATATTTCACCACCGGATAATCTTCTCTTTGGTAGAAGTGCTCATAGGATAAATCTAGAGAATCAAAAAAAAGTCAGGGACAAGACGGCTCATCCACATTTGCATCCAGGTAGAAGTTAGAGGTCAACCTTACCCTTTGCTAGCCTCATTTGCACCATCAGCTGCCCCGTTCCGATCTCTGCTCTGGGATCATAGCTTCTTGGTTTAGAACTGAACGCTACAGTCTCGGTCTTGTTCACCAAGTAGTAGCAAGAAATCGTTTGCCTACAGAAAAGACATTTTGTCAGTTGATTCTCAGAAACCATCAAACCAGGTGGTTTGTCAGGTTAAAGTCCTGGTTCAGTCTCCCTACCTGTACTCAGGATCAACTGGTGTCGTGTAGGCGGCTCCAGTCTTATGATGATACATGCTGATCTCATTTTCATACAGCATGTAATTGTCAAAGAACTGAAAGAGATCAATTAAAACAAATTGGCAAAATAAAGGGTACTTATTGCTATCATAAAGGAGGGAGTGCACTTACTGTTCTAGTTGTCCCACAGGAATCAGCACTGAAAGAAAAATGAGCGAAGCGATCGTCGCTAAAAACTGGTTTGCAGGACGGGTCCTTTAAAGTCAGCGAGCTTGGGTCGAGACTGGGCACCGATTCCACCTTCACAGCCAGAGCAGTTATTGTTCCATTTGAGTAGCATGCTTAAACAAAACGGGGAGAAAAGAGGTTAAGAAAATGTTCTCTACTTAAATGGTTGCATTTGCTGCTGGTTAACACGTCTTACAAGTTGTCATTAAGGGGAAGTCGCAGGTCAGGTAGAGATCAGCGAGCACCCACTGGTTGTTGCTGTCCCAGAGCAGCATGTCAAGTCTGGCTCGTACAAAGTGTGACGTAAACAGCTGTAAGACAGGAAGTGAAGTCGTCAAGCACAGATGATGATTTCTAGAGAGTTTTGTACAGCTTGGGACCATTTAATTTCAAATGCTCAGGGGCCTTCTGCTTGATTGTCCCTGATTTTCTTGAAGCGAAATCATAAACAATGGATATTTAAAGCAGTATCTGAATTTTTAGTCTCACATATCAAACTTTTAATTATGCAAGGAAATTTAAAAGAGCCAGTTGACCCCATGTTTATGAAGTTTTTTCAGTTCTTAAGAAATGTGGTGTCAAATCTCAGTGTGCAAAACGTGTTGAAAGAGTTAAAATCTTTACAAATCTGTATTTTATGCTACAAAAATTTCCAGGCATGAACATGGCCAAGCAGAACGTTTTTTAAAAATTAAATTTAAGATGGAATGACCCTCCAACACCTCGAATGTTGTGTCCTTGGCAGTGTATGGCACTTGGAGGCTGAAGTGAGTGCCGTTGTCCTGGAAGCCATAGCTTTCCGCCAGCTCAGGTGTCAGCTGCTGACGTCCAACTACGGTCTGCAAGTTGCGGCCTTGACTGCCGTATTCCACGCTGACGTAGAAGAGAGTCTGGTCACAGGTGCCAGTGATGGCAGGCAGCACTGTTGACAGAAAGAGAAGCTATGGTTGGTTTTCTTCATTCCACATCTAATTCTGAGAAGAGCCATTTTTGTCAAAGCTAAGAATTAAGTCTCACCAACATCCTGCAGAGATGCCTGGACCTCCACTGGGTGGGCGAAGGGAGTTCCTTCAGGCAGGATGACAAACCCAAACACCAACGGCAGGGAGTAGAGTGTGACCAAGGCTTCAGGATTCTTCAGAAATCAAAAAGAAAATGTCATGAAGTGGAAACGAGCAGATGTGTTGTGTAGTTTCTCATGTTTGATGGTCACATACGTGCTTCAGGACAACATCTGCATTAAAGGCCACTTGTAAAGAGAAGCTCTTGGTTCCGTTGGGGTAGACGTGCTCCTGGACGATGAAGCCTCTGGCGTTGCTCTCCTCCACTGTGAGCACTCCAGTAGAAAACGTGATGTTCGTCAGCTCCACGTCGGAAAAGAAGGTGCCCAAGCGAATCCTGAACACACCATCCTCAGGGACGGTAACTGAGAAGCAAGAAGTGGCAGATTTATGCCTTTTCCCCACAAGTCTGACTTTTAAACATTCTTTACCTGTAAGCTGGACTTACGGTCCTCTGCGTGGAGAGATTGAGGCATCAGAGGGGTTGTGATTGGGAACAAAATCTTGTATCTGGTATCATCTTGGGTGTTATCTGCCCTCCACAGTACTTCAAGCATGGGCTCCACAGTGTAGGTGATGTGGTACTGGTAATCTGGGGCATGGCTCTGCAATTATTCATGACATTTTAATAAAACATGCAAATGGACCCCAACTCTTACATATCCAATTCAGAGGACTTTCCAACCTTGTAGTAACCATCAGGTGAGCCCACTGGGATCTCCGTGACGATGTGGAAGTCTGTGACTGACAGCGTGTATCCTCTCGCTGCCATCTGAGATTTATCCAGCCGCTTCCCGTTGATGCCCATGTGCATTTCTACGATTCTGAATTTGCCGTCCATCATGGACGTCACACGGCGAGGCACGTGCCAGGAGATTGAATCGTCGGTGAAGAGGACGCCACCTGTTAACGGTAAAACCGTTAACTGTAGAACAACCTGGTGCTTGCTGTGAAAACCACAGACTGCAGAGACTCACCTGTGGGACAGGAAGCTGCCAAGTTCACGACACTCAGACCGTGCGGCGCTTTGTGATAAACGCTCACTTTGAAGACTTCCATGGGGATTCCAGCCACCTAAAAATAGCATTTAATGTCAGTTATGATAAAGAACTGAAAGGATTACTTAACAGGGGGAAGTGCTGCTTACATCCTCCGAGTACGTCTCTGCTGTATTGTAGGGGCTTCTCACAACCAGGCGGGTCGGGGTGGTCATGGCGCTGTATCCGGCTTGCTCGGCCTCCTCCAGCACCATTGCCACTGGGTCAGGGTTGAAAAACGTCATCTTCCAGATGCCATGTTCTGCACCAGAGGCCTGTGAAAAAGACATTTAAACAAAATAAATGCATGCCTCATTTCCACCTTCTTCAAAACAGTGCAGGTCAATTTTTTTTATTTTAAAAACATACACCAGGAACAGCATTGAATTGAGAGCTTTCATCTTTAAAATCCTGAGTCTGGCCTTTCGGATCACTCGGTGAATCTGGTTTAGCCATGTATTTTGAAACCTACAAAAAGACAGAAAACGCAGGCGTTACTTGTTCTCATCCCACATACCATCATTATAAAGTAGAGGCACTGATGTAAAGTGACCTACTTCCATGTAGTTCCTGTCACAGAGGACTTCTCTGGAGGCCCAGCGGCTGTAGCTGCAGGTTTCCGACACATCGTGACTAATCATGTCTGACGGACTCTGTCGGTACATTCTGAGTTTCAAGCCAACTTTAAACGTCGTATCTTCCTACGAATGAAAGACAGAAAAGTAAATATGATCCAGAAGTTAGGAGTCCTTCTGTTCAAACGATTGGCTGATTAAGAAAACTCAATGCCTTTACTGATTTCCAGGTACGTGGCTATAAGCATTGTCTTCTTTTATCCGTTTCATCTCACCAATTTCAAAACCTTTGGGTTTAGGACAAAGGCGACATTTTCAGGTGTCACTTTGGGCTGCTTTAGACTAAATCATTCACTGATTTGGGAATAGAGTTTACTGATGAAAACTGGTTGCAGCTCTCATTGTAGTAAAATAAATCTTACGAGATACATCTGCATAATCATGCAGCGATAATTTACAATCTAAAAGAAGCTAGTCTGCTGAGGAATGCACTGAGCATACAAAGTGCTGCATCACCACTACTAAATTCTGGGAATGTGCCACCTCAGATAACTGGAACTCCACGTACTTTGTTGTCCACGTAGCAGCCCAGCAGAGACGTGTAGATTCTGGTGTTTCCCCACGGGTCAGACTCCATGCTGTAGCCACACTGAGCAGCCAGGCTGGGTGTCAACAGTATGTGCTGGGTACCATCTGGAGAAGAGACCCAAACATGACAGGGATCACTTCTCCCAGTGATAAACCCATCTGCTTGTAATTAGCAGGTTTTTTTTGTTTAACTCACTGATCGCTTCCACCTCGAGCTGGTTCCCCACCGCCAGAGCCTCGTCCAACGTCAGCCTCATTAGATTACCTAGACAGTCTGCCTTTAAACCACTGCCTGCTCAAAGAAACCACTCGTCAGGTGAAGCACAAAGTCATTTAATGTGGAAAAAAAGGTGATTTAATGTGAGTTAGTCTTACTTGACTGCGAACTGAGCTTCACTTTTGGCCTTGTTTGACCCGAGACGATTACTGCAGCCATCAAGCTCCATGACAAACTTGAACAAAAATCACACACAGTTTAGAAAGTTTAACTAGTAGACACTAAAACAAACAAAAACCCCACAGAAGTGTGAACTTACATGTTCGTAAGCTGCCACATGTTGCGGTGTGAATGTAGTCAAACGTAAAATTGCAGCAGCCCGACCACTAATCACAGCTCGGCACTGAAACCCCAGCAAGCACCACAGAGAAACCAGCTCTGAGGTGAAGGAGTCGACAGCTTTACTCAGCCCTCACCAGCTGTTTTATGTATCACTTAATCACAACTGCACAGGTGAAGTGCATCAGTGAGGCCACCTGAACCACTCGCTGAGGGAGCGCTTCACAAACGCCTTAAGACTTGTGACAAAAAAAATGCACATCTGTAAATAAAAACACATGAATCAGCGGTGTTTAGTAAAATAATTTATTGTTCATTGATTTTAAACATATGTACATTTGTGTTTTATCATAAACCTACAGATTCTGAGCTTTCTTTAAAACTACACAGCAGCTTGCACCAATTTAGGACATGAAAAGTTGTTTTTTTTTTCCCCTCTGCAGCAGAGATTCCTCATTATTACTGTATGTCAGGTTCTGATTATGGTTTGTGTACAAAACTCCTCCCAAAGTCTTGGACGTGGTGCACCAACATTGATCAGGCTCATTGTTTGACCTCGATTACTGTCCGCTCACAGGGTCACACAGCAATATCCTTTATCCCTTAATGTGCTACTTATCAAAAATCCATCAGCTGTCTCCGTCTGATCCAACGAGATGTCTGTTTTGTATTTTGCATCTATCAGCTGTTCGTGCCGATTGCTTCATGTTAAATGACGTCACACAACAAATTAAATAAAACAAACTGACAATGATTCACAGCCTGTGCGCTGGTAACCACCAGACTGCAGGGTTGATCCGATGTGTCCTCAGTAGGTTACCCGGCTGTCAGTATCCCCGGTTCATCTTCTCTTGCTGGTCCAGAAGCGTCTGTTGCAGGCTCATTTTGGCGTCTTCAAAGTCTGGATTGAGCTTTAAAGCTTGCTGGAAATCACTCTTGGCATCGTCAAAGAAGCCTGAAAGATAATAAAAGTTGCAAACGCCTAATAAGTGCGAGGTTATGTTTTGCAAAATACTGCCAGACTGGCTTGATTAGAGCGCATATACACAGCGCCATCTAGTGTCCTACAAAAGAACAGCCTCAAAGTGGAACGCATGAGCAAGGTGGTTGATTTCAGAAATGTTTTTTTCTGTTGCTGCTCTCTTGTAGTTGCTCTCACATACAACAGGGCAACGTTAGGTTTTCAGGAGACTTGTTGGTTTGCTGTTCTTAATGTAAAGGATGTAACGTGGTGGCACAGTCACACTAAGAAAGATTACACAAGAAATGTTTCTACAGAACTCCTAAATGTCTTCTCTCTTTCTCTCTCTCTTTATTTTTCACTTGCCGTATTTCAACTTCTCTCACATTGAAAAGTAAGTGCTGCAGATAATGCTGTATTACTGAAGCAACAGTTTTGTATCACTTAATTCATTTCACTTTTTCATTCATTCAGAATAAACTGATATTTACATCCTTGATTAGAGTAAAAGTACAAATATAGCAAAAGTAAAATGCCTCGAAAACAATCCTACTTAAGTAAAAGTCCACTGGTACTGGCAGCAAAATGCTAAAGTGTTAAATTAAAAGTACTTGTTTGGTCTGAGTGGTGCTCTTTAGGTTATTAACACTGAAGCTTCGGTGTGTCAGCAGCACGTTGTAGCTGCTGCAGGAGGAGCGAGCTGAACTACTTAGACAATAGATAAATCTCCTTTATGTGAGATTAAAGGAGAAAAAGCAAAGTTTTGAAAGCACAAATCTGTTTTTTAACATTGCACCTTTTCTCTAATGTTTGATTTTTGTTAAAATATTGGATTATTTGAGCATCTATTGAAATGAAACCACGTGAGAAGTTTAAAGGAAAATAAAAAAACACTATTTGGTGAAGCTGTTAACAACTAATCTTGAATGTGACCCGACTACACATGGCTGTTTGTAATATGTCAAAAGCCAAAAGGTTTAATCTTTAACAGTGTGTTGCATTTTAAAAGCTTGTTTTTCATCCACTGTGGAAAATATTAAACTTAGAAGCAACAAAAGCCGTCAGCATTGTGTGCAGTATTTTCCTCAATTTAGGAAAAATAAAAGTATAAAGTAGCAGAAAATGGAAATACTCAAGTACAAGTACCTCAAAATTGTACTTCAGTATCATATAAGAACAAATACACTTTTGTATTCCACCACTGCTGAAACATAGGTTGCTTTTGAAAGGTTCAGCGTTTAGGTGGTGTTTGTTGTGAGAATAAAATCTGATGTATAACCATTTTTATTGTTGGAATATATATTCACGTGCAGTAAAATGTAATGATTACACAGAATCACGAGGTCAAAACAAATCATAATGTGTAAGAAAAAGGTCGGAGCCCTGTGACGTATCAAACGAAGTGTCGATTAATAAGAATTATGTTTTCTGTGAGCTCCGTGTGCGTCACTGAGCCAACGTAGGAGGTACCGGACATGGTCACAAGACAGGCAGAACATAGATCTCAATAGGTTTTGATGTAAACCTGACACGAGGAGTCAGCGGTGGGCCGATGACGCACATTGCGGCGTGTAAAAAAACTGCATTTACGTTGGTTTCTTGTTGACTCGACATTCTGTACAATTAACCTTCAAATCAACCAAAGATTCTGCATTATTTGCTTTTCAAGTGAGTTAGAATAAGTTATTTAGTGAATGCAGTATTAAAAACAAGCTTCTCAGTCCTCCAGGTCTGGGTTATTCTCGTAGTTTAATCGTAGCAACTGCTTGAGTTCCTTGAAGACGTTTCATCCAAGAGGCTTCATCAGCTCTGACTGACTAGTTGGGAGATACTTCTATCCTTAAGGAGCCACTAACGCCTGAGTTTGGGTTTCAGTTGGGGGTTGTTGCTCCTCCCGTTCGTTATGTGGGTCGTTAGTGCTCCCTCTGACACAAAGGGGTTCGTTAGTTGTGGCTAGGTGTGGTTTCATCTTCCTGGGGAGAGATCTTAGGACTGAACTGTAAACATTTTCTGTCATGTCGTTGTGTAGATGCTGCCGTCTTATTGTGGTAATGATTTAACTAAACCAGGAGCAGGACTTCTTCTAAGGAATCTGCTCTTGCTGCTCATGGTGGAATAACACCTCACTGTCACCTTTTGTTGGTCTTTCCTTTAACTTGTCACCCATTATAAGCATCCGTATGTCTGATGAACACCATCCTCAAAAGGTTTAGTTCTCATTGTGTGTTTTGATGAAGGTTGTGTTGGCGAGGATGAAAAACCATAGCTAATATATATTTTGTTTGATTTTAATTCTCATCAAACCATTAAATGATCCCACGAGTCTTGCACGGATCTATTATGTGTCTCTATAACTAACAGGATTTGCATTGGTACAGAAACACAAAGTAGAAAATATATTAGGTATTTATTTTTGAAGATCCTGGACAAAAGTGTTTTATTTTATTGTGTGTGGCTTGTTGATGAGAGACAGGCGATGTCACCGTTCACTCTTGGTGATGGGGAGCCTGTTCTTACCTAATCTATAGCGGATGAGTCCTCTGTTGTAGAGGGGGACTTCATAGTGGCTGTCAGCCTGTATGGCGGAGCTGTAGTCCTGCACCGCTTCATCAAAGTCCACCCGGAGGTACTTTATCTGTCCGCGGTTGTTATAAGCAGCGGCCAGACTGCCAGCGTCACACTCCCTGTACACACACAGTCACAACTCGGTTTTACATGAATGCAATGACACTGAAAGAGAGCGAAACGTGACTAGGTAGCGGATAGCGACGTCACAGAATTTGACAGGTGACAGAAAACACTGGAACACCACGTTAGCTTACTGGTGCTAACCGCTAGCCGGTTCGGCTACTTCACGAAGACAAACGTTACCTGGACTGTAAGCAGGAAGCGATAAACTTTGTGTACAGCTCCTCTGCCTGGTTAAAATTCTGCTTTTTAAACTCAGAGTGGGCATCTTCGAGTATTTGAGAGTTATCTTCCTCCATTGGTGCTCCGTGTTTGGAGGCTCGTCGTGTTTTCAACTGCGACTGTGACGTTCCGGAATATTGTCCAATCAGCTTCGGGGGCGTCATGTGTGGGTGTGGCTTAGCGGGACTTTATTTCCTGTTGTGGTTTATGAAGTGGGCTTTTTCTAACTGACTAGTTATTACCAGGTAAACAATAACTAGCATAGACAGGCTGTAACGTCTCTAAGGAGGACTCTGTCTTTTTTTTTTTTTTTTTTTTTAACATTCACCTCATGTAAAGCATTATGCAGCACTATGATCTTTTACCTCAAGTTCAGTTCACTGTTGTGTGATAATATGAAACACTGTGCTTCAAGGATTTCACTGTCTTTTAATGTGTAAGCCATGTTTTCCATATTAAAATGACTCGGAGTGCAGGCAGCTGGACCAGTGGTTCTACTGTCTTATATTATGATGACTTACAGAGCTATAATCACACGTATCGGTGGGCCTCTGAAATACTTGTTTAAATAAATAAACTTTATTTAATAGTAATTTGGGGCGACCAACCCTATAAATAGTTCTGAAAGTTCAGCCTTAAAGTCTCATAAGACAATATCCCAAATAAATAGTAATCAGAACAAGTCTGCCACGCTGAAAAGCCCAATAACAACTGAATTAACTACAGCAAGTTACACCAGTGTGGTTATCGGGATCAACTTTAAGTACAGTAACATAACATCTGCTTGTGAGTGCGAAACAGAAAAATCTCTGTAGAAAAATATCCTGACTTCAGTAAACAGATCAGACTTTTATGCACAGTGAAGCAACATCCCAACATTTTTTGTCAACCATATGATATTATTTAGCATTTGACAGATGATTTGATCCAACTTTCAAATATTCTTTATTTTCTTAAAATGTGACAGCCCAATCAGCTGCTGCCATAGAGGCCCAGAATTCTGTTTACCTGTGGGTCCCTGAAGGCATCAGGACGGCCCATAAATCTCAGCCATCCCTCTCTTGTTCTCTCTCTTATTCATTCTGACCCGGCTTCATTGGTGGTGACACATCTTTCTGTTGCCTTTTTGCATTGTTTCTGCTCCACAACACCTCACATCTCATCATGTTCACTCATTCACACCTACACTCCTGATACCACTGATAGTCACACGCCACACTTACTATCATTTGTTAAATGGTTGGCTTTTGGTTTTAATAAATATCCTTATTTTGAGTTAAATCTGTGTTATATTTGTTATAACCCACGAGCCAGGTTATGACAAAAAACAAATAACAATAATTTAGATCCAGAACAATTGAAAGCCACGGACGTCCAGGCCTGACAACGACACCGCCCTCAACCTCGGACACTGTTCATCAACTTTCCATTCATAGTTTCTTTTTCTACACTTTGTAATGCCGTTACACACAGTTTCTCGTAGTTATGTCGTCCTACTGCGACTGTAGTGATCTTTTTTCCACCATCACCGTCGTCACCATAACAGGCATGTTGTGACCATGTGCTGTATGCTTGTGACACAGATGCACATTTCCCTTTAGCTGTCCTTTTCATTCTTTTCTGTGTCGGCATGTGTGTTATGCTGGTTTTATTTTACAATGTCTTTTATTTCTCTGTGTACTGAACATCTTTGGCTCAAGACTGTCTTTTAGGATGAAGCAGCACAGTATATTTTCTTACCTTCTAATGTTTTTGTTTCTGTAATTTCACCTCATTTTACATTTAATCTCAGATTTCTTTAAACAAAAGGATAGACAAACTCTTCACCTGTCACACAAATTGAAATACCTGTAACACATGAGCCAAAAGAACACGTGATGATTGAAAGTGTACAAAGAATTTCTGGTGTTCAAAAATGAATGTTTTTCTTTTTGTAACAGCAGGTGGCAGATTGGATTCAGATCTTATTAAAATAAGGCAACTATGCATTCAATGAAAAACTATTCGGGCATTAAAAATAAAATGATTTTATCCAGATTAAGCACAAAATCTGAGCATAAAGTTCAGCCAGATGCGTAATTTCTTATCATCCTAAAAATGCACATATGTTTTCTATTGGAGAGAAAAAGCAGTGAAGTCTCAGACATCTGTCACACCAGTGACGACACAACGTGAACGCTCCGTGAGGTAAACACATGACAAGCAGGAAACCCATAAACGAGCTGGTGAGAAATTCTCAAACAATCTAACAGGCGAAGAAGTCAACTGTCCTGGTGAAAAATGACACCTGAAGGAACCAGGGGTCACCACGAAGCCGCGCACTTCCCTTTCGTGGCCCATTTATCTCCAGACAGTGTGGACAAGTTGAAACAGATCAAACAGAAACCGTTCTGACCCTGAAGAAAAGGATGTAGGCCAACGGCTGCTGACGCTGGAATGGAAGAAAGGAATGGGAATAACACGTTGCTTTTCACTGTGGAAATGTGGGTTAATGTGGACCTTCACATGAATCAAGAGATTTCTGCATCAAACACACAAACTATCTGAAAAATATCTGAATTTGGAAAATGAGAGAGTCAGCACAGCAGTATGTGTCCAATCAGCAGCATGCAAATGTCAGAAAATCACCTGATGTTAGTCGTTAAATGTCAGATCTATCTATTCCAGCTGACTCAGGGTGAAGGCAGGTTCACCTGCACAGGTAACCAGTCTATCACAGGGCTACACTTAGAGACAGACAACCAAGCACACTCACATTCACACCTACGGACAATTTACAATCACCAATTAACCTCAGCATGTTTCTGGACTGTGGGAGGAAGCCGGAAAACCTGGAGAGAACCCACGCTTCACGGGGAGAACATGGAGACTCCACGCAGGAAGATCCCGGGTGTCCTCACCGGGATGTGAACCAGAGACCTTGTAGCTGCGAGGCGACGGTGCTAACCACCGCCATTCCTATACAGCTAAATTCATTCTTAATTAAGTTTTGAGGGAAACATGTTTTCTTTTTTAATTATGTTTCTTTGATGCGTATCACAGATATGATTCCTATTAACGTAGCGTTTTGTTGGTTTACTGCCGCTGCTTTTTTCATATTAAAGTCAAATTTAACGAGCCACCTTGCAGCCATCTTGCAGCCCCCAATCGCATATGTGTGCACAAAATATAGACGAACCAATAGTCGCTGGTTAGCATTAGCTTAGCATAAAGAATGGAGAAAATGCTTTATAGCTCAGTTCAAGGAAAAAAAGCCTGCCAACAGCTCTAAGGCTAACAAGTGTCTGATTTTGTCACTTTTTCTTTAGAGACTGAAGCGTATCAATGACTTGTTGTGTCAGGCTGGTTGCCCGGCAACTTCACCGTGACAAGAATCCAGGAAGTTGCTGCATCTGTTCAAGAAATGGTCCACGTAAACACATTTAAAGTCACAAAATAACACACACGCTGTTTACTTTCTTTTACGTCCGTGACATAAAAGTCTCCCGTCTCAACTAATAAAACGGTCCAGAGCAGCAGCTGGGCTTCTGACTGCATCACGTCTCTCCGGTCCAGGACTTTCCTCAACCAGCTTCCTTTTTAGTGTTGTTCACTTTTAAAGCACATCTGGGTCTGGCTTTCAGCTACACAGCAGAAATGTTGGCTCCATATGAGCCAAGTCGCAGCTTTAGAGCCTCAGCCGAGCCCTTCTGGATGCTCCAAGATTCAGACTTAAATCTAAAGATGATCGTGACTTTGCCATCAAGTTCCTGCAGCTTTTACACAACCTGTCTGAGGACATAACGCTCACAGAATCGCTGACACATTGCTTTAATGTCACATCATCTTCTTTATTGCCTTTTATGTTTTTTTATTGCTACAATTCTTTTATTTGCATTTATTGATATGGACATGTTGCCTTTAGCATTTTTGTAGTATTATTCGTTGTATAAATCTCTTATAATTGTTCAAACTGCTGAAATTATAGACATTTGACTAAATAAAGTCCCTCCTAAATCATTATAGAATTAACAATAAAACATAAAATAGCCTTTCGAGTAGCCTAAATCAAACACAGTCTTCTCACTTCAGGGGAATCATCACACTGTTCTGTTTCTGTACTTAGGGATGATGTTCCTGCATGTAACTGTGCAGACGGAGAACGTTGACTTTCTATTTTTCGCTTCACAAAAGGCGTCACGTTGTTATCGTCTTTCATGACAAAATATGCCTTATTTTAGGTTTGCTGCTAAACTTTACCAATCATTGTTGCTCGTCCGGCGGCATCAGAGTGCCGTGCACTGCAGTTTATCTTTGAAATGAAATCAACAGTCACCCATGTGAGTATCTGTTTTCCACAGGGGTTGAATTTACTTCCTCCCACAGTCCAGAAACATGCTGAGGTTAATTGGTGATTGTAAATTGTCCATAGGTGTGAATGTGAGTGTGCTTGGTTGTCTGTCTCTAAGTGTAGCCCTGTGATAGACTGGTTACCTGTCCAGGTGAACCTGCCTTCAGCCTGAGTCAGCTGGGATAGACTCCGCCCCTCATGACCCTAGTGAGGATTAAGATGTAGAGATGATGGATGAATGGATGTTAAACTCTAATACAAACTCTTCAACACATGAGGGTAACACTTTCATGTGTTCTGGTATTTCCCTTCATATCCAATCACATGCTGTCATTTTAAACATGCTAAGGACGTTTCTTTACTCATCACACTCATTTGTGAAGAGTAGTGTTAGGATATCAGAGAATAACATTTGATATTCGAGACCTGTCGATAAAGAAAAGCAGCTACGAGTGTTTTGTTAGATAACGCTGAAGATTCATCCTCAACCTGCCGCACAGAGATGCACTGTACTACGCTCCATGTACCTTTTCCACTTCTTCTCAGAGGTGTGTGAGTCCCATTCATCTTTTTTTCCCAGAAAAAAAACCTGTGTGTGTGTGTGTGTGTGTGTGTGTGTGTGTGTGTGGGTGTGTGTGTGTGTGTGTGTGGTAACCATGAACTGAAATAGCAAACAAACATAAAACAGCTGTCTGGTTAAAGGAAGGAAAGAGGAATCCGACCCAGACTAGAGGTAAACGTTGGGCTGTTGACTCTCTACCTCACACAGACACCGCAGACACAGAAGCTCCGTTGTCAGCCTCGTCTCGGGCAAACAGTCCGACTCATTCCAGAGGCGACGCCGTGACCTTTGTCTGTTGTTTTTCTGGCAGCGGTGAAGGTGGGAAAAAGAGTGATGGTGACAACAGGAGACAAAAACAGATGTTGGCTTCGGAGCGTTGTTAAAACTATTAGCCTCCTGAATAAACCTGAAGCTCAGATCCAGCTCTATGACTGACGGACGCTGTGTTTCTGAGGACAAACAGCTCAGGATGGATCTCCGTCTGACTGCAGGTATCGGAGAAGTTTGACCAGTTTGAGAAGTCAAAGAGAATTATAGCACATTGTTAACAGAAATGTCAGCGTCTGCCATCCTATTTATCTTTCTATATTGACATAGAAATACATATATGGCACGGAAATGTAAAGTTATGTAGGACAGACGGACATAACGGCTCTTTTGTATCTGCAGAAAACATATTTTCTCAAATACCTTCTCAACATTTCTATTGAGGGCAACTGGCGGTGATGGAGTGCGTAACTTATCAATATAATCATTTATGTTAAAGGAAATTAGATTTGAATGATCAGAATTTACCATAAATCAAATAACAAGGCAGGAATGATTAAAACGTTCTTGTTCTTTATAAGATAATCTGCGTTTATATTGCTAACCAGCAGTTAATGCATCAATATATCATTAAATCATGTTTTAAAGCCTGATTCATGAAATAATTGGCAGAAAATTCAATTTTTTTGAAACTTGAGTGTTTATTGAACCTTCTGACAATTAAAAAACAAAAGAAAGAAATTAAACATCAGTTTGCATAAACGAATTTAAATTGATATCAGTTTTGCTACAGCTGGTGTTTTTGGTGCATGACTGACTGATGAATGGTGGATCATCCGTGCACAATGATGATGTAGATCAGTGGTTCTCAAACTGGGGGTCGGGACCCTCATGGGGGTCCCAAGATAATTTCAGGCGGTCGCCAGATCATCATAAAAAATCTCTCTCTATATATATAGAGATAAATAAAGCCTCCATTTATCAAATAAATGTGTATTAGGGCTGTCAGAATTAAAAGTGTAAACTTGTTCCCACTCCTTTTTGAACGTATTAAAATTATGATTTGATTTTGTGATATTATTCTTTTTTCACTCTTTTTTAAAATGATTTTCTTTTGTTTTAATATTTTTTTTCCTGTCATATGTACGAAATGACAAGACCACAAAAAAGCGAACCCAAATGCACGACTCCAAAACTCAAAAATGTTCTCAAACTGATTTATTTACAAAAGTATCAACAGAAATATCATTCAACAATAAAAACCTAAACTCAAAGCGTCACTCTAACGAAGAGAATAAAGAACCAAAAAAATCACTCGATTGAGGAAATACAAACTAAAAATCACTCAATGAGGAAAAAACTTAATCTTTCTAAACAAAGTAACAACTCAAACACTTGATTAGAAAAGAGGCTGAATACAAAGTAGCAAACAAAATACAAAACCTGAAGGAAGTTTCCACAAGGAACATGAACGGAAATCCTGGACATGAAGAGGGCTAGAACGTGAAGCTTGACTCAATGATAAGACAAACTGGCACAGGACAGACTATATATACACACACAAGGTAATGAGGAACAGGTGGAGACAATCAGGGCTGGGTAGACAATCAGACACAGGAAACACTGGGGAGAGGGCAAGCTTCCTGAAACACGAGGGCAAAGAGGTTTCAAAATAAAAGCCACAAGACAACACAAATACAAGACAAAAAACTAAATAAAACCTAACACCTGGTACGAGACATGACACGAAATAAATTAAATTCATTCATTCATTCAAAAGAAGATGAAGGTGTTAATGTAAAGAGATGAATCTGTGGAATTAACACGTTAATTTTAACACACTAATGAACATGAACTACAAAGTTGTTGCTCATGATATATTAAGAATTCAAATTAACAAACTTATGCTATCTTGGGGGTCGTGGCTCAAAAAGTTTGAGGACCACTGATGTAGAAGACACAAAAACTCGTGCATCAAATATGATACAGTCGGCGTCATGGGGTAACTAATCAATAAGTTTCATTTCCTGCTGCTTTATCTTTAGATTTTCCTTTTCAGTGGAGATCCATTTCCATGCTTGTCACTATGAATGTGTGTCTTGCTGTTTTTAATTTTATTGTTTTATCTTCATCTCACTGCTTCAACCTCACAAGATCTGCCTGACGTGTAAGATTAACGTGATGCTGACATGTTTCCTGTGTTGCTCTCTGATTGAGACGACAAACTTCTCAGTGATGTCCAGTTTTCAGTTTTATTACACGGTGTTATTTAATAACATTCAGAGATACAAAAGATAAGCATTTATCATCTTTAATACAAAATTAGAGAATCTAAAAGTTGTAAAAGTGATATAACTACATAGAAACTATACTTAATGCAAAAATAACGAGTGGATGGAAACTTTTTTTTGTCATTCAAATTCTACTGACTAGCTTATTAAACCTATGAAGGCATTTTACTACAAAAATATACAATATATTACACATGACACTATATTCGAATAGCATGTGTGTTTAGTAGAAGTAACATTTACAGCAGATTTACAAGAAGATCCCATCGTGCTGTCTTTAGTGTCGGTACAAATGACTTCATCATAAGAGTAGGGTTGAGGGGCATCGGTTCGTAAATCACAGCTTCTCTCAGTCTCTGGTTGAAACCCGTACAGTAGACGTCCGCGGCTCAGCGGTCCGTGGCTCCGACTGGAAGCGGCTGCAGAGAGCAAATAAACAGGAGGTCAAATCGTGCTCGGTGGGTGGGAAAGTTTTACCACCAATCACTCAGGAAAAAAGCTGTCAGAACTCACCACCGTGGAAGGACTCAAGCACGGCCCACCGTGTTCTCCAGACGCTCTATCCTCCCTGACACGTCGGCTAGTTCGACCAGTCAAGGAAACTCGTCTGACAGTTACACAGCGAGGGAAAGAGAAGGAGAAATCCTCAGCACCTGTCAGCTGAGACAAACGTGCAGCAGCAGCTTATAATGAACTGTCGTCCATCTGAAACAACACTGAAGGATATGCTTGGCCGTGAGCTGCTGGATGGCCGCCTGCGTCTGCTTCTGGAAAACCAGCCTCGCTTCACACTTGCAGGGATCCTCCACCACCTCCACCTTCACTTCTTCACCGGGACAAAGCAAATTTCACATCAGCCTAACAGATCATGTAGAGAGCGGAAAAGCACACAGAATACCACCCACACTACTTTTTTTTTTTTTTCTTCTCCCCCCCACCATCTGCTCAAGAAACAAACCAAAGCTCCAACATAAATTCTATAATATTACCCGATAATTGTCCAACAAAGGCTACAGTCAACAGTGAAACATGGAGTCAGGAGTTATGCACCAGCTGGATGTGATGTTGTGAAACTCTGCTCAGAAGCCAAACTGAAAAGCTGCAGGAATCCACACAGTATGTCCTTACGTTTCAGGGAACATGTTTTCTTGTCGTCATTCAAGACATAACCATTCCGGCACTTGCAGTAATAGGAGGCGTTGCTGTTGACGCAAATGTGCTCGCAGTCATGTCCCATGGCACAGGGGTCCACACCTAGAATAAGCCGGGATTAAGGGATGTCGCTGTCAAGGTGGCAGCAGGGGAACAGGTTCATGTGCTGGCATACAGTGTAGTAGTAGGTAGTGGTAGGTCAGGCTGCTGCTGCTAAACTAGCTGATGGTGATTGGTGTGTTTTGTTTTGTTTTTTGCAATGGTGGATAAATGCTGATTAAAAGAGGTAAAAGTATCTACACATTTTTTTTTTTAACCCAATTTACATCTACTTTTTAAATTTGAGAGGCCAAAAAAAAATACTTTTCTTAGGCGTTTGTTCTTAAAACTCGGTCCATTCAAACACCTTCACCACATCTCAGCCAACGTCGCTGCTGCGTGTTGGACAACGCAGGTAAAATCACAGAAGTACAACCGTTAGGACAGTCACAGTACATGGACTCATCATTAGACAAACATCAGACAGTCACAGGAAAACAGCAGAATCTCAGTTGTCCAAACATGTACTTTAAAATCTGCCAGTTCGTAAATTAAAGTCATTGAAGACTTGTTACTACAGGAAATGTGAAGCTTTCTCTCTTGAAATTTCAAACAGAGTGAGCCTACAGTCCCACAGTCAGACAGATCAGACTCATCCCATCGTCAGAATTCTTTCTATTCCTGAGTTGTTTGAAGAACTGAGGTTTTACTGCACGTCCAAATCATTTTAAATACAAAGAGATAAATCCAAAGCATGGCGATGCTTTGATTGCAAAACACATCACTAGTGATCATATTATACACATTTTACATATAAAAAAAGAAGCTAAAAGTTTGGGGCTGCATGACCCCAAGACTTTACCGGGTTTGGACATAGCAGGTTCTAGTGCCAACATCTGCAGTCCATGTGGGGATTCAGAGCATCTGCTCTTGTATTCATTTCAGGGTTTATAATTCACCAATAACACTAAAACCCCCGTGCAGACTGTAGGTGCCCCTTACTGCGGAACTAGAACCAGGGTTAATGGTGGGAAAAGGTCTCGCAGGCCCCTCTTTGTCCTACCGCACAGGGTCTCCCTGAATTTGGAGGTGAGCTTCTCGATGACGCCGTAGGTCTCCACGTAGAAGACGTGGTCGTCCAGAGGGATGCTGGCCATCAGCTGCAGAGACTGCATGTCTGCACGGTCCACCCCGACGGCGTAGATCTCGATGCCCGAGGCCCGGGCTGCAGCAGACACCTCCTCCACCTGGTCCTGAGGCCTCCCATCCGTCACAATGATGGCCACCTTGGAGATGTTCCTGGAGCGAGGCCGGGCTCCAGACGGCTCCGTGAAGGCTTCGTTCACCGCGGTCTTGATGGCGAGGCCGGTCATAGTACCAGCCGCCAGGGGCTCGATGCGTGAGATGGCTTTCTTCATGTCCGGTTTGTTGAAATGATCTTTCAGCAGGAACTCGATCTTGACGGTGCTGGCGTAGTTGACCACGGCCACCCTGGTGGCCTCCGAGCCCACGTCAAGCGTGTCGACCATGTCGGCCAGGAATATTTTGACCTTCTCAAACTCACCAGGACGGACGCTGCGAGAGCTGTCAATGATGAAGACCAGGTCCAGGGGCCGGCTCCTGCACTGAGAGTCTGTCTCTGGTGATAAACCAAACCATGGCAGCATTAAACCCATTTCCTAATTTGTTACTCAGACACAACATTGCAGCTTGTTGGTTTACAGTGACAGACATACAACGATCACAAACAGAACAAAACACAAGTGTTGTGCAACAGTAGAACAAATAAAAGGTTGAGGTTTGATTCAAATGATACTGCATGTTCTGTGACATACTGAGCATCATTTCAGAGTTTCAACAGTCCATCAGAGTCGTATCCTTTCATCTCATTTTCCTGAATGAAAAGGATGTTTGATGTCCAACACATGAAAAGTGACTTCACACCTGAACATGGACACAGCGTTAGAGTCCCTGCCTGTCCAGTAACATACACGTATCATAAACTACATTTCTGTAGTTTAGTGTCACATCCTCCCTGCTTCTCAGTTTTGTTTTTAAACAACCGATGATCAATTTTAGGTCTGTATCATATTCTACATTCATGTTTGATGTGGTCCTCGTTTTTAAGCTGCAGCTTCACATTTACCTTAAATACATGAGTGGCATTAAACTGATCAGACTTATAAAGTGTTTAAAGACCATTTAAAGATCCCATATAGTGAAAATCCATCTGTATTAAACAACAGCTGTGTACAAGGCAGGAAGAATGTTCTACTGGCTGCAAGAGGGAACGCAAGAATCTTCATGGACCCCCAGCGTCTGAGGAACTGAAGACCCAGTGGAGTCCTGTTGGTTAGCTCGGTGTGTGGCTAATGGGGCTAAGGTCACCGTTAGCTGTGGTGGTGTGTCAGAGCTCTGTTTATATTGTAGATCTGAGGAACATTCAGACATGGTGGAAACTTTAAACCCGATTTGAAGCGATAAAAAAGAACCGGTTGGGTTTCTGTGTTGTCATGGCACCTCGGTCGATGTTTGCTTCTGCTCGCTGTGCTCACGTCTGCTGCGTTTTAATACAACCAGATTCTGAACAAAGCTTTGCCCCTTAATGTGTTTTTCTGCTTCTGCTGTCTCACAATGGAATGAGTATAAAGTAGTGACTGAGACGCCGTCCATTGAGACGACATGTTGACTAGAACCACAGCGTTGTCTCAGAAACTCACCAAACACGAGTTAAAAACAATAGCTGTGCTGTTAGTTCCTTATATAATAACCATGAGACTAGAAAGCCTTGGTCTCATAGACTCCATCACATCTGTGTTGGTGAGAACTGGTTTGTTTCATGCTGTCAGTCACAGAAGCAGAGGGGTTGTATCCATACGTCCATATATATACTCCCTACATAGGGGCCACTATGTCGGGTGTAGTGGGTGATTTCAGACACAGCCAGAGTCTTCTTCCTGAAGGGAGGCGTGGACGGCAGCAGTTCAGATGCATTTAAAGCTGCAGAAACAGTCCATTTAGAACAGGACTAGTTATACAGTTATACGGTGAAATGAACCATCTTTGTGGTGTTTCAAAGTGAGAAATGAAAAGACACATTTCGGAGACTAACATGCAGAGAAAGGGCACAATATGGGACCTTTAAATAACCGCTTCGTCTCCACCATCGATCAAACAGTGATGAGATCTGACCTGGAAAGCATTGAGGAGCATTGTTTGGGTTGGAAAGCAAACCTGACTGGTAATGTTCTACCTGTCTCCACAGGACTGACGGTGGTGATGATGCCGCTTTGGGTACTGACCGGTAGCGTCACGGGAGCGGTGGTCTCCGCCGGCGGCACAGTGGTCACCACCACCGGCGTGATGGTTGTCACCGGCGCCACTGTGGTCGCTGGTAGGGTTGGCAGCATTGTTGTCTCTGGTAGATTCGGTAAGGCGGTAGGGGGGTGCACCACGGGGGTTGGCGCTACTGTTGGGTCTGACTTTGCGGGGCACGGGCCTTTCAGTTTGTAAGGGAATGGGCCCTTGACTCTGTGATGGGGGTGGAGGGACACTGGTGGAGACAGACCTTTGAAAATGTGATGCGGCCCATTGAATCTGTGGTGATAGGGCGGCATGGGGACTGAGGGTCTGTGGTAAGTCACCGGCGGAGACAGAGGAATAGGTCGGTACACTACCGGTGGGGGGATCCTTGGTGGCTGGTAGTGGTAGTGATACCCTCCTCTATACGTGTAATCACTTCTGTGCACTACAGAGCCACCAGGAAGGAAAAGTGATAGAGAACATTAGTAGGCTGACAGACGGTCGACAGAAAAGCTGTGTACGTTGACACTGTAGTAAGTTCACTGTAAAAACAAAAATAAATAAATCTGTAATTTTCTGTTTTTATTTTTTCTGTTTTTATTTTACACATATTTCTCTGTAATTTTTAAATAGACATAAATACAATTAAAATCACAAAATTGACATGTAAAATAACAAAATTTTAATCTATTTAAATGTTTTTTTAATGTCAAGTTACGTGTAAAAACTATATCTATAAATACAAATAATATATATAATATATCTATAAATAAATCCTTTATTCCCACTGCGATAACCACCCTGAACAAAATGAAATAAGACACTGAACAGTACATTTTATTGGCTGCTGTTTCTTTTTAAGAATTCTTTTAGACGTCTGTCAGCTCGTGTCTTAAGTGTGTTTTTATATGTGTTGTATTTTTATTGTTGGAGCCTTGGGACAGACAATGAAGTCTATCTATCTATCTATCTATCTGAAAAATATGAAAATCAGCTGTTTACTGTTGTAATTATGATGCTAATTATTTGTTTAATAATGTTCAACTAACATGTTTAAAGGTTTTTGTGTCATCCATCCATCCATTATGTTACATTTAAAAACATATGATCCTAAATAAACAGTAAACTACAATTAGAACAACAATTTTCTGTTTTCTGTCGGTGTTTGAACCATTTTTAACATTCTTTCATTTTAAAGGTGGACGTGCTTTTTTTAAACATTAAAGTTCAGTTGAATATAGTGAATATTTTCATGCAAACACTTGATATGATCTGAAGTTTATGGGCAATTCTTGCAAATAGAAACTGAATTGCTAGTTTTACAGTTTAGTTTTTTTTTTTTTTTTTTTTTTACTAAATTTGTTTGTACATAAAAACAAAACCCAACTAATAATTGTACTTTTCTGCATTATTAACCCTGATTGACTATTTCATTTTTATGGGTAATTTATCTGTTTTTGCACTGATTCTTTAAGCCAAATAATACACATGATCTTATCAGAAAATTAAGGTTACTATTATGTATTAATAATTGAAACTACTGTATTTTTATTACTTTTTTTATGCCCCAGTTGCCAGAATAATGAGTTTCGTTGCTGTTTTTGTTATTACAGATTCTATTGTACAGTGCTGCAGTGACACACAGGACAACTTTGGTTTTCTTTGCTGCACAGACAAACGATTAGTGGAAGCGTGAGCGAACATTCAGCCGCCTGCTGGTCCGTTTCACACAAGCTGCGGTTTTACTGGACAGCTTGTGAAACGTCCGCTCGACAATCTGGATTTCATGCATGTTGGGTTTGAAAAAAAAGTCCTGCTGTTAGAATAAATGATTCCAAGACAGAATATCTATTATTGTTAAAACTTCAAAAAAATTTTTAAAAAAGCTTAAATTGACTTTTTGTGCTGGAGAGCAGTGGTGGACGAAGAAGCTTCACTCAATTACAGTCTAGAGAATATTAATTCAGTACATTATACTTCTACTAAACTGCATTAAAGAGGGAAATGCTGTACTTTTTACTCCACTACATTTATATTTACAGTGCACAAAAAGTACACCAAAAACTAAACCTGTGTTATGGAGAGTTTAATTAATATTATAGCACTGACTGGGGCTATTTTTATAAATAATGGGTACTCCTAACTTTGTTTAATAACTGACTGACTGATTGATTGATTGATTGATTGATTGATTGATTGATTGATTGATTGATTGATTGATTGATTGATTGATTGATTGACTACACCTTTATATTCTTAAAGTTTTTGATGCATGCCTTTCACTTGTAATAGTGTTTTAGTGGGGAAGCAGCAATGTAAGAAACAAACATTATTCATTATCATCTCATCAGATTGCTTTTATTGACGCATAAAAAAATGTAATCTGCTGCTCAGTTTTCACTCTTTTATTTACAGTTTCGTTCACTGTAAAGCTGCAAGTATTAATCGATAAATCAATCAGTTGTCAATCGTTAAAATAATCACTAATTTGAGCAATTTCATAAAGAAAACAACATAAATTCTCTGATTCCAGCGTCATTACTGTGAACACTTGCTGCTTTCTTTCCTTCTCTTCGATAGTAAATGTAGTATCTTTGGGTTGTGGACCAAATGAGACATTTGAGGACCTAATGTTTAGCTTTTGGACGCACAGATTGACATTTTTCACCATTTTTGGACAGTTTATAGTTCAAGCAACTCATCGATTAATCGAGAGAATATTCGACAGATTAATCTGTTAGCTGCATCCCTGGTTGACTAGTTGGACTCTTTGCTTTACTACGTTGGTGTTTTTGTGAAATATCAGATAACAGTTATTTACATGGATATCCAGCAGGTGATTAAAGGCCCCAACTACACACACGTTTCTCCCAGAGGTTAAAAGACCAAAATATTGGGAACCACTGAGGATTTTAACCTTAAGACTTATTATTGGGTAAAACTACAGCTAGGGAATAAAATGCATGGACTGAAAAGCACATTTTTCTCTCTGTAATGCAGTAAAAACAGCCTCAAACTGATCCCTGTACTCAAGTAGGTTAAAAAAAAACCAAAAAAAAAACCCTCCAAACATCCCCCTGACGTCCACCACTGTGCTGCCACGCTGCTTTACCTAAACTACACTCAGAAAACAGTATTTCAGAGCTCTTACTTGCAGGATTGAGGGTCCTGAACGGTGGTCGACCATTATTTCTGCTCTGAGCGTAACTCTGAGCGGCTACGAGCTGCGGGTCTCCTGCGCTCAGCGGGTACGTGGCCTGGACGTGAGCGCGCAGCAGCGCAGCGCAGAGCAGGAGGCTCCAGAGAGCGCACTTCATCCTGTCACTGTCCGTCCGTCTGTCCGTCTGTCTGACTGTCTGTCTGCCCGCTGTCCGTCCCTGAGCATCAGCCCTGCGGGGGTCAAATATGAGCAGACCTCCAGGAAACACGTCAGACGTGTCCGTCCAATCCAGAGCCTGAGCGCGCCGTCAGCCGCGGGAGGTGAAGAAACCCACCGGCCTGGAGGGAGGTCCGGCCTCCTCACAGNTATCTTTGGGTTGTGGACCAAATGAGACATTTGAGGACCTAATGTTTAGCTTTTGGACGCACAGATTGACATTTTTCACCATTTTTGGACAGTTTATAGTTCAAGCAACTCATCGATTAATCGAGAGAATATTCGACAGATTAATCTGTTAGCTGCATCCCTGGTTGACTAGTTGGACTCTTTGCTTTACTACGTTGGTGTTTTTGTGAAATATCAGATAACCGTTATTTACATGGATATCCAGCAGGTGATTAAAGGCCCCAACTACACACACGTTTCTCCCAGAGGTTAAAAGACCAAAATATTGGGAACCACTGAGGATTTTAACCTTAAGACTTATTATTGGGTAAAACTACAGCTAGGGAATAAAATGCATGGACTGAAAAGCACATTTTTCTCTCTGTAATGCAGTAAAAACAGCCTCAAACTGATCCCTGTACTCAAGTAGGTTAAAAAAAAACCAAAAAAAAAACCCTCCAAACATCCCCCTGACGTCCACCACTGTGCTGCCACGCTGCTTTACCTAAACTACACTCAGAAAACAGTATTTCAGAGCTCTTACTTGCAGGATTGAGGGTCCTGAACGGTGGTCGACCATTATTTCTGCTCTGAGCGTAACTCTGAGCGGCTACGAGCTGCGGGTCTCCTGCGCTCAGCGGGTACGTGGCCTGGACGTGAGCGCGCAGCAGCGCAGCGCAGAGCAGGAGGCTCCAGAGAGCGCACTTCATCCTGTCACTGTCCGTCCGTCTGTCCGTCTGTCTGACTGTCTGTCTGCCCGCTGTCCGTCCCTGAGCATCAGCCCTGCGGGGGTCAAATATGAGCAGACCTCCAGGAAACACGTCAGACGTGTCCGTCCAATCCAGAGCCTGAGCGCGCCGTCAGCCGCGGGAGGTGAAGAAACCCACCGGCCTGGAGGGAGGTCCGGCCTCCTCACAGCACCGGCCTGGAGGGAGGTCCGGCCTCCTCACAGAACCGGCCTGGAGGGAGGTCAGGCCCTCCTCACAGAACAGGTTTCATTGACAACAACGGTGCCAGAAAAAACAACAACAAAAGAAAGCACTATAAACGGTGGAATACGGTAACATTCAAAAATCAAAACAAGAAAAAAAAAAAACATTGAAATCTGTAAAATAATTTTATATTCAGCTGATATAAAGACAGTAAAGTTGTGTGATTTCAGACTGTGAGAGAACAAACCACTAGTTTTAGAAAGAGAGATCTTTGATGTGGACATTAAACAGCTGGGGCGGAACTTTTAAACTTAACATCCAACTTTTTTTTTGTCTTTTCTGAGATTCAACTTCATTTATTATCTGTCATTTACCAAACAGGGAAACCTGTAAAGTAACTGTTTAAAAAGAATTGGAGGCCGGACTCCGCGGCCGGGAGGCGGGAGCCGGGAGCCGTCGCCGGCTCCAGTCCGGCCCCCAGAGGTGGTCTGCCGTCCCCGGCTCCAGTCCGGCCCGAGTCCGGCCCTCACAGGGGCTCCGCCGTCGCCGGCTCCAGTCCAGCACGAGTACGATCCCCAGGGGGGCTCCGCCGTCGCCGGCTCCTCTCCTGCCCTAGTCCGTCCCCCACAGAGGCTCAGCCGTCGCCGGCTCCACTCCGGCCCGAGTCCGTCCCCCACAGAAGCTCAGCCGTCGCCGGCTTCAGTCCGGCCCGAGTCCGGCCCCCACAGTGGCTCAGCCGTCGCCGGCTTCAGTCCGGCCCGAGTCCGGCCCCCACAGTGGCTCAGCCATCGCCGGCTCCAGTCCGGCCCCCACAGTGGCTCAGCCGTCGCCGGCTCCAGTCC